CAACTAAGCTACGCTCAGAAAATCACCATATAGACGAACACAAAGGTACTCGAGTAGGCACAAATGGAAGCGTATATATATATATATATATACACAATCGATGGTTAACATAGTAGCAAACGTAGATTCCCAAAACAGTTTTTTTTTATTCCCCCCGCCAAGCAAATTAGGCCGATCAATCTAAAAATCACAGGTCAGCTATTAATTGTGCTCAAAATCTAAGAATAAGAATCACTGGCCAATTCGTTATTCAGAGCGGAAATGAATTAAAAAAAAAAAAAAAACTTTTGCGGGAAGATGGCGGCAATGGAGATTCAACTACTTGAACAATCGACATTTACGACGTACACGGGAATTGTGGGAAAAAGACGGTTAGAGTTCGTCCTAGATCGACCTCAAGAAAGAATTAAAAAAGTTTAAAAGAGACGCTCGTTCAGATATATTGATTAGTTTAGTTTCATGTACATGTTTACTATGTTAGTTTTTAATCTTTTCATTTGTATCCTTCTTGAATTAATGACCTGAAATATTTTGTTAAAGTTGCTAAGTTCAAATATTTATCGATACAATAGGGGAATTTACACGGATATAGTCGTGGAGCACGGAAGAAGCTTCTTTCTTTTTATGTGCCATGGCCTTTCAGGACGTAGACGATAATGGTTCTCCACCCGCCTCTATCCCTTGCAGCTCTCAACAAGTTCCTTCCCTCTGCTTCCTCCCCTAGACCACGTTCTGTCATCCACTTGCTTAAAGCCGCTACGTATTTCATTCGTTGTTTTCCCTTGTCTCTCTTTCCTTCTATTCGCCCCGTGAGTATCATTCTCGAAGCCCACCTTCCTGATTATGTGTCTCAGAAACTCCAGCGGCTTCTTCCTGATGTCAAGTATAAGCCTCCTCCTTGTTTGCATCCTCTCATTGGTCACACGCTCGGTCCATGATATCCTTAGCATCCATATGTAAAACTACATCTCTGTCAGCTCGAGTCCATTCATCTTTGTGTAAATCGTCCAACATTCGCTGCTGTAAAAAAGGACAGATGTCACGTAACAGCTCACTATTCTTTTCTTTGTTACCAAAGAAATCCTCCTGTCTCCCAATACTCTGCCAAGTTTTTGGAATGCGTCCTTGGCCCTCCCAATACATCTATGGATCTCAGTGTCGCACTTAGTCGTGTCAAAACGCTTCCCAGATATTTAAACTTCAGCGTCTGCTTGATTCTGGTGTTCCCGACCTGCAAATCAATAGCTAAAGAATTATGAATAATCAGAAAATTCGAATAGGAAAACTGAAATTTCCACGGGTACTAGTAGCGCAAGTACTTTTTCGAAGATAACACGAAACTAATATCAAATCTTTTGGCTACAATTCAGCTCTTGATGTGTAAAGGAAAAATGGCCGCCCTCTCCGATCAAATGAACTCGATACCCAAGGAAAAGTGCTGACGTCACGGAAATTTCAACCAGTGCTTAAGAATTTCTCTTAATACAAGGAAACACGGATAAAAAAAAAAAAAAAGAAATCAGTTACTGATATTTACTAGTAATAGCTTTGTACAAGAAGGGCTAAATAGGTTCAAGAAGACTGTTGTGCCAATAATAATAAAAATCTTATTTTAAATTTTTCCAAGCTCGAACAATAGCAAGTAGTGTCAGCGGAAATTAAATACTATAGCCATAAATAAGATAACAGGTTGATGCAAACGATCCTATTGTATAGTGCTAGGGAAATCTTAGAAGTCTCTTTGAAGTTTGCTCAGCTCTTGGCAGCTCGTCAAAATCAGTGAAATCTATCACGTCATTTCGAAATCCAAGGTAAAACTCAGAATCTGAGAAAATATTTTGCTCTGTGATCAGTTGGATTCTAAAGAGAATATTTTATTAATAAAATCTAAAAAGAAAATCTTATATAGCCAAGTCTATTTTATAATTAAGCTACGGGAAGACATGACACCAAAGAAAGGTTCAGTTACCCTATTTATGTAATTCAAATCTCCCGAAGTCTATATCTGCTGTTAACTATATTTTATACCGGAAAAATAAAACGAAATGTGATGGTAATTTTTAAGAGATTAATAAATTTCTTAATACGAGATTACTTTTTCCAATGTTTTCTGGGGACACATTTTGCTTTGAGACTTTCGATGTCTAGGCCGATAGATATTAATTTCACTGCTTAAGATATATGAAAAAGCGTAGGATAAAAATCCATTTGCTGCTCATATTTTACATATATATATATATATATATAGCTTAGTGGCGAAGGGGGATATAAAATCGAAGGATGCAGTCCATGATGAACGTTAATGGTTACGAGAAAAATTATAAAGTCAGCCAGTAATTTATTTATAAATTAATTTAATTTTTCGTCTCGTTTTGTAAAAAAGTATAAATACTGCTCTCTGTTTCCATCTTCAAAAAGTCTTTATTGGTAGAAATGAAAACCACATTACTCTATCTTCGTGTTGAAATCAAGAAGCAGTAGCTTCACTTTTTTCGATCACTCGGCCTTAAGACCTCACGCTTCATTCACGCGGTTCCTCTTGCCTATGCATCCAACTGGAACCGAAGCAAGGGTCTTCTCTGCTTACAATACTCTGCTAATATCCATTGTTCTCAGTTTATCCTAAGAAATGAAGGAACGGGAGATTTTTAAAAATATTCAAGAGGGCCAAAAATGAAAATTATTGTTTATTACACAAAACAATTTAAGGTATGCAGTGCATAGACTTTCGCCACTGATATGTATATAAAAAAAATGTTTCTCTTAAAATATTGTAATCCTGGATAACCCACTTTTCGTCTAAATTTATTTCCAAATTTTAATTTTCCGAACGATTTTACTTCAAGTCATACTTTCCTTTAACTAGTCAAACGTATTTTACGAACCGCATCCATCGTTCAAGTTTGAAATTTGAAGCGGACATCAATTCCTTTTTTTTAATTTTTTTTTTATTATTGACTCATACCTACTTATTTGTTGAACTTAAACCCCAGTATTGCTTTAGCATTATTTTTGTACAATTTTAATTTTGAACTATGAATCAGCGTCCATCCCATGAGCATTTGTATACTTTTTTTTAAATAAACAATAATCTATATGTAGTGCCCGACGAGTTGGGTAACCACCGAAACTTAAGTCGCACACCAAACGTAGGTATATGTGTATTTATTAATATATAATTCTTTGCTCCGATTAATCACATTGAGGATTATTATGTCTACACCTCTTGGCTAAATTCGGTAATTATTTGCTTACCAACGTATGCACGCTATATATATATATATATATATTATATATATATATGTATGCGCGCGCGCGTGTGTTAACGATATATACATATATTTTTATACATTAAGAACAACATTGGGGAAATGCATGAAAATGTGGAACAAGTTTTCTTGTGGCGCCTTTCATCTTTTAGGACTTCATTGGACTAAATTTGTTACGTTGGTGCGACTACACATGCGCATGAACGAGGGATGCTGGGAATTTGAAAATAAAATTTAAAACTTAGTATTCCTAGCACCTCTCGTTCGTGCGTATATGTAGTCGCATCCACATGACAAACTGAGTAGACGCCTCACATGTAGCTTATCAGAACAAAGAGCTATAAAAACACTTCTATAAACCCATAATCTACAAGAACCCTTGAGAGAGAGAGACACACACACTTTGGTTGAAAACATTAGATTCTTTTGTAAATCAAACTTTGTAATAAGAGATCCCCTGTACAATATTACAACTCTCTCCCACCATCAACCTGATCTGATTTTAACAATCGTATCTGAGTGCTTAAAGTTTTTTTTTTAAATAAAAGATCGCGCACTCGAATTCCAGCCATGCCCAACACTACCAACCTCGCATCCTTGAAAATGGATAAATAAGTGGCCAAAAGCGCTCGTTACAATCGACGATATGGACAGTGTTTGTACTCGCTTGCTCCCACCAAACGAAGAAAAAAATGTAAGAAAGCTGTAAAAACAAAATGAAAATGAATAAGATTTTCCTTGTCCGTCATATTTAAGAAAATTTTTATATATAATATATATATAAAAAATATATATAATAATAATAATATATATATATATATATATATATATATAAAATATATATTATAATAATAATAATAATATATATAAAATATATTATAATAATAATAATAATAATATATATATATAATAATAATAATAATAATAAATAATAATAATAATAATAATAATAATAATAATATATATATATATAATAATAATAATATATTATAATAATAATATATATTATAATAATAATAATAATAATAATAATAATAATAATAATATTATAATAATAATAATATAATAATAATAATAATAATAATAATAATAACATATAATAATATATATATATTATAATAATAATATATATATAATAATAATAATATATATATATTATAATAATAATAATATATATATATATATATATAATAATAATATATATATAATATATATATATATAAAATATATATTATATATAATAAAAATATATATATAAAAATAATATATTATATATATATATATATATATATATATATATATATATTATATATATTGAGATAAGCAAATCCTTTACATGAAAAGGATATAATTTTTATTTCTATCTCATTTCTAGTATTTATAATGAGGGGAGCGTATCTTTCCATTGAAATATGAACACATGTCACTTTCGTGATGCGTGTACATCATTGAAGGTCAACAATCTCGGTAGAAGAGTAAAAGAGATTTTAAAAGAAGCTGTTTAAACGTGTGGATCTATCTGTGCGTATAAGACAGAATGAGCGAGTAAGGCAGAAAACTGGGAGAGAAAGGAAATCCTATCAGTAAGCACTAGCGATGGAACAAAGCAAGGTTATTATTTTCGATGTAGAAACGCGAGCTTTAGATCATTGTTTGGTATTAGGAAGAGTGAAAAGCGATACGCCCAGGAATTGATCGATTACACAAAAATTTTCTCGTTTATTATCGAAGTCTGTTCCCATCCATCTATCTATCGAAGTCTGTTCCCATCCATCTATCTATCGAAGTCTGTTCCCATCCATCTATCTATCGAAGTCTGTTCCCATCCATCTATCTATCGAAGTCTGTTCCCATCCATCTATCTATCTATCGAAGTCTGTTCCCATCTATCTATCTATCTATCGAAGTCTGTTCCCATCTATCTATCTTTATAACTATCCAAGTCTCTTTCAAACTATCTACCTCTTCCTAAATATCTTCCTATTTATGTCCCTATCGCCCTATTTCAGTCTTTTTATATCAATATATCTCAGTCTGTTCATCATTTTCTTCGTCTCCAACTATATATCGCCGTGTGTTCAAATCTATCGATCTGTCTATCCATTCATCCATCTATCTGTGGCATATCTAAAAAATAAATAAATAAAAAAGAAACAGAAATAGATTACATAAACAATAAAACCGACAATATATCAAACCAGGAAAAAGATAAATAGAAATCATAACTAAGTGCGTTACCGAATTAATCATATATGTTTCTGTATCTATCTATCTATCTCTTGACATATAGTTATATCTATATGTAGTTAAGATTTTTAAGATTAGAGAGAAATAAATAGAAAACAATGGTCAGGCGAAAAAACTCGGTCTTTATATATATATATATATATATATATATATATAACGTAACAAACGTAGTTGTTAAACTCCGACTGATGAAGATGTCAATTAAAGGTATTCAATACAAAAGTAGAGACTATGAAATGTAAGATAAATGAAAAATAAACCGAAGTAACTCAATGTTTCACCCTCCCAAATGCTAATTTCGATCTTTACATTGTATCACTCGTGGTTTATGCCTGAAATATAAAGAACTACTAATTTTTGTTTTGGCTCCAGTGTGATTGTCACTAGGTTTCCAGATTAGCTTTTAAATATTGTTTTGCTTGCAAAAATCTCGTCATTACTTTCACTTTCTGATTCAATAGCGAAATGGATTTGGAAGCATCAAGATCGCTAACTTTCCTTCCGGCATAATTTGCATAGCTCTTACTTCTTGATATACACCAGCTTATCTTCGATTGGAGGTTCTGTTCATCTTTTATTTTCCATACACACAAATAAAAATATATATATATATATATATATATATATATATATATATATATATATAAAGAAAGAACAGTAAGATATATAATCCAGTGTTCTTATAGATATTTTTTTTATTTTTACAAAATAGTGCTCAATGTAAATTTACAGAGCATTATTATTATTATAAATAGATTTAAAATATGGTTTTTCCGCTACACAGTTCTAACCGTGTTTCAAAAATTTTTGAAACATGGTTAGAACTGTGTACCGGAACAAAACATTTTAAATATATATATATATATATATATAGAGATATATATATTATATAGGGAAAGAGAGAGCAGTGCTATTATAATAACTCCTCAATCTGAACGATCTTTCATGCTTACTCTATCCTGTGTTAAACGCGGCCTAGGTAGGACCACTATACTAAATCGTAGGGAGTCCTACCTTAACTCCGGCCCTGTATACATAGTCACAATCTGTGTGTATAATATATATATATATATATGTGTGTGTGTGTGTGTGTGTGTGTGTATAAAATTTTAAATACTATTTTCTTATTCAAATGTCCATCAATCGTATTAGGTCTTCTGAAACTTCCGAGCTTTCAACTGGTTCTATTCATTATCAAGAACGAAATTCAAATTCCGTACGGTCGTTTTCAGCTTCATAATTGTCTTGAATTCTGAGTGAAGTCAGCCGAAAGGTCGGAAAAATAAGCAATAGAAACAAGTCTGGTCACTTGCTTTACACTTCAACATCAAGATACCAAATCTATTCCGCCGACAAGAAAATCTCTTATCGTGTTTGCATAAATACTGTTTCCTTAGATATAACTAATATGCATTCATACATCTAGCCATTATATATATAGTGTGTGTATTTTGGCAGCATTTTTTCATTCATACACGTTTCATTAAATAATATAGACAAGTGTTGTCTATTTACTTTATTAACATCTGATAAGTTATTAAACTTATCAGACGTTATGAAAAAATAAATAGACAACATTTGTCTATATTATTTAATGAAACGTGTGTGTGTATATATATATATATATATATATATATATATATATATATATATATATATATATATATATATATATATATAAATAAAATATAATTTAAAAATCAGGATATTAGTTGAATCCGCTATCCTGGTGCCAGAAATTTCAAAACTAACGCCCATCAAATATAATTAACACTAGTAATTTATGCAATTGTAGACGTAAGAATAGATGGAGCTTGTAAAAGCGAAGCAATAATCTATAAAGCAGCAGTATCAGATATTAACGGCCAAAATAAAACGTACATAGGAAGTAATGAAGGTACTTACAAATGTAAACGGTACAGTCATAAGTAGTCATTCAAGCTAGTAAGACTTAGGTGCTGTACAAAACTTGCTGACCATGTGTGGAATTTAAAAGAAAAAAAAAAACAGGTATCTGATTGTAAGCTGGAATTTTTTTTTTTTAAAAAGGAGAAGCCTTATAACAAGCATAACAATATTGGTAGCCTCTGCTAACAGGAAAAAATAACCATGACATTTCCGGATCCCAAAAATCTTTTGAATCAGAAACCGAAGTCTTGAGTCCTTGCATACATATTAAAAAATTCCTCTTAAGCACATATGAGGCTGGATAAAAAATATACATTTCAATCACCCCACCACCAATATTTTTGTAATACCCTTGGTTTTCTTCTCTCCCCAGCTTCCTTCCTTCACATATTCCTCATCCCTTTCTATTATATCCAACGTCTGGCGTTTGGTCAACTGTCTTTTAAAAAAATAATTGACCGTTCATTAGTCTTGTTTTTTATAAATAAAGTGTTGAGAAGTTATTTGATAAAAAATCGTCAGAGGATACCATAAAGTTGAAACTATGGTAGCGGATTCAAATGATCTGATTTTTGAAGTTAAAAGCTCTACATTTTTATTTTTACTTTATCACATGTGTATTAGCACCTTTTAATATACTGTTTCCTGGTCTGATATCAACTCTGATCATTAATATATATATATATATATATATATATATATATATATATATATATATATATATATAAATAAATAAAAAAAGAAAGAACAGTAAGATATAAAATCCGGTGTTCTTATAGATATTTTATTTTACAAAAATAGTGCTCAATGTAAATTTACAGAGCATTAATATTATAAATTAATTGATTTAAAATATGGTTTTTTCGCTACACAGTTTCAACCATGTTTCAAAAATAGAAGCTAAAAAACCTTGAATTTAATTTTGCAATTAAATTAAAGCATTAGTTCCATTTCATCTTCAAGCGAATTTTTCGCTTGAAGATGAAATGGAATGCTTTTAATTGCAAAATTAAATTCGAGGTTTTTAGCTTCTATTTTTAAAACCATATTTTAAATCAATTAATTTATATATATATATATATATATATATATATATATATATATATATATATATACACAAATATAAAGGAAAAGTCATTAATTTCAAGTGTTTTTAAATGCAAGCGGTAACGTTTGTTATTTTATTTTCCATTGCTAAATAACATGTTTACATTGGGATTAAAATTATGGATACTGCTGCAGAGTAGAACTCGAATTCTTCCTTTTCTTAATGAGACAATGAACTGCTTCTAGTTATAAATAGGCGAAGTAACCATATTAGAAGAGGATTTGAGTAGTATTTGATTGGCAAGCTTTTCTGTTCTACGTATGAGTATTTAAGAAACCTCTTTTTCCCTACCCAGTTTTCTGTTCCTTCGATACTACGACCTTAATAATTCTTAGCTATTTTGAACAAAGAGATATATTGTCCAAGAGTTCTATCTTCTGTTTTTGCACGATTTTTTCGACTACCTCAGTCATTATCAACAACTGGATGTTAACGGTAGGGTAAACATGTTTTCGGAACGCTAGAATTCAAGTATACTCGTATCATACAAACACACACATATATATATATATATAACAAAGAAGAAAGGAGGGAGAGGGGAAGGGAAAATAATATCATTGCAATGATGAAAGGCAAATTAAACTTGAGCTCCTCAATGGTTAAAATACACAACTGCAGAAAAATATCTTAATTTGCTGATTAGTTGAAATACAGCTACTACCACATAAAAAACAGAAAAAATTCACGGAGGCCATATGCAGAACTCGGTACATAAAGTACCCAGAATGCTAGTCGGGATTGGAATAGTTCACAGCTGGACTCAATGGAAGGGGACATTCTGGGAAGCTCTTACCATGTATTGCTTTATATATATATATATATATATATATATATAAAGAGAGAGAGAGAGAGCGCTTCCCGTGTGTGTGTGTGTGTGTGTGTGTGTGTGAATTTGATTGATTTTGTTTTTCACTGTTTAAGAAACTTTTGCCCATTATTTAAAGAGAGAAAAAATTTTTAGATTGTAAAAATTTCTTTTTGGGAGATAACGATTACTGATACAAGTCCTACTAATTAACCCGTTGATGGTGGGAGAAGAGGTGGATTCATACCTTTCCTAAGTTTATTTACGCGTAAATGAATAGAACGTTTCCCCAACTGGAATTGGAATTCGGTTCTGATTTCCAATTTCGAGCCGTTATCAGTCACACTCCCTGCACGTCCAAGCTTATAGCATCCGTTATTCCTAAGCGGTCACTCATCCAAGTACTGACCAGGCTTGACGTTGCTTAACCGGTGTTTCTGCGTAATGTGGTCGGAATATTGTGGTTATGCTCAAATATGTCAGCGATAGATACATACACTGGAATAGACTGACATGGATACAAATAAACTAAGGTATGAGCAAGGCGTCTGAAAAGAATCAGACAGACATAGCAGCTAAATAAACCCTCACTCACATAAGTTGAGGACAAGAGGGACAAAGGAAAACAACGCATATCATACCTAATGAGCGAATATAGACAGTGCAACAGAAGGATGCTGAGAATACCATGAACTGAACATGAGTAACGACCAAGTTTTAGGGAAAATGAAAACAAAAAGGACAGATGAAATTTCTAGGGCACATAATGAGGAAAGTGTGCTTGGAGAATTTGACACTCACAGAACATATTAAAAGACAAAAAGAACAAAGGAAAACAGCACAATCTCCCGAACGATCTTGTTTCA